TCGTCGTCGTTCGTGGCAGGTGTTTCGACGTGTTCATTCGTGTTGACTTCGGCGCGCATAGAATTAACCTTACGGGGAGGTTTCTTTCGATTTGCGCGTGCGATAACTTCCTGCTGTACGTTCTGAAGGTTCTGATTCATTGCTGGGTGCGATATTGTACAGAGGTGGTATGGTGTTGGACGCGTTGATGTGAGTTAGGATGAAAATCAGGGTTAGGAGACTGCTTAGTAAGCACTTCTGCTAGGTGGGCTCTCTATAGGATACTCTATCTACGCTCCGCAAATAGGAATCAATCAAACCAATCAAATCAATCAATTTGATGCCTTGAAGTTGATTTGATTGATAAAATCCACCTCTTCGGATTGATTGATTGATTTGGTTGAACCAAATCAAATCAATCAATCTATCAACTTAAGTTGATTGTTCCCCACTCTGGTTGATATTCGAGCTCAGCTCGACGCAGACGTGGGCAGTGGCGGAGGAAGGCCAGGCGAGCGTAGATCGTAGAGCCAAGATGGGGGTCAAATTTGATGGTGGCTTTGAACTCTTCGTGCTTGTTGCCGCTCATGTCCATGTAATCTTCCAGGTCGTCGAGCTCCCAGATAGCCCCATCCTTGAGGCCAGCTTCGAAGGCGCGGAGGTGGTCGGGGTCCTGCACATCGTAGATGATGTTGGCTTTTGGAACGTCAATGCTGTCTGGGAGATATTGGGGAGGTCAAAATGTGTGTGGATCTGACGTGTGGTCGGTGCGCGTGAAGCGATTACGCTGATGTTGTTGACACTGGACATCAACGACAAGACCAACATTCACCTCAAGCTAAGCAAGCACCTATCCACTAAACTTTTTGGGGGCCATGTTCATACGCTCAAGACACCTCTGAGACTATCTTTTTGGAGTTTCTATGATGTCAAGTCCTACAGGCTCTGATTCCAGTCCGGCATTCTCGGGGCGTGCTCATACTCTTGAGATACCCCCGGATGTATTCATTTCATGAAGCTATGATGTCAAGTCCTACAGCTTTTAATTCAAGTCTGGGATTCTTGCGGCGTTTTCCTCCCTTTGAGACACCCCTAGACGTAGTCATTTTCGAACACCTATGATGTCAAATCCTACTAGTTTTGATTCAGGTCTAGGGTTCTCGCAGCGTTTTCATACTCTTGAGATACCCCTGGAGTTACTGTGGTGGAAATCCTATGATCTAATAAACTGCAGGCTGCATATCTAGTCTGGGGATCTGGAGGAACGCTCGCAATTTTGAAATACCCCTGGAGCTATTGCTTTGAGAATTCTAGGATGTTAAGGACTACATGTCGCATTTTGAGCCTGAGAATTTAGGAATCGCAAGACCAATTGCATTCCCTTGTGCTTATATATTGATTGATCTCCTTTGAAACCTTTGGAGGTGCGTGCGGATCCTTGAGTCACCTCAGGGGCTATTGCTTCTGAAATCAGACATTGTAAAGGACTACACCTGGCGTTCCGAGCTGGAGAAGTCTGGAAATTCAAGACATACTGTAGCGTCTCTCGTCTGGAAGTTGGCCAACGTTATCGTAACTCCTGGGGGTACGTCCGCTTGAGCCACCTCTAGAGGTATCACCTTTGAAAATATATGATGTAAAGGGCTGCACGTCGCAATCCGAGATGGATAAGTTGGGACACTCAAGAGGAACTGTAATATCTCGTCCCTGTAAATTGATTCACATCTTTCGAGCCCTTTGGAGGTACTCGTGTAGCCTGGAACCAACTCTGGATGTATTGTCTTTGAAATCATGTGATGTAAAGGGCCCTACATCATATTTCGGGATGGAGAATTTAGGAAGCTCAAAACGTACCTCATCATCTTGACCTGGAAATTGTTTCATGTCCTTTGCACTTCTACTGATACGTGTATATGTTTGAGCCACCTCTGCATGTACTCTGTTTCGAAATATACGATGTAAAAAACTGTATGTCGTAATCCGAGACGGTGAGCTTGGGAAGCTCAAAACATACCGCAGTACCTCGTGCCCGGGAACTTATTGCTGTTCCTTGTACTTCTGGGAACTCGCGCATATCCTTGGGCCACCCCTAGAGCTATTGTCCTTAAGATCTTACGATGCAAGGGACTGCACGTTGTAACTCAAAGCTACGGCCTCGCAAGACCCGAAACTTCTTACAAGGTTTTGAGGCTCGAATCGAAAAACTTTTTAACCAGCGTGGCTTGAAAAGGCCATTTCTCTCAATGCAGCAAAGGAACACGCGGTTATGCTGTACGCACCCACTCCCATCCCAGACGAGGACGTCATAACACCTTCCCTTCGACTTAAGACTCACGACAGTACTTGGAGCAAAGTTTTGTCCCGTATACCAGGCACCATAGAAAGAAGAATCAGAAAGTCGCAGCAACCCCGAGGCGGCATTCCCACTTTCCACTTACTGAACAAGCTGTCGTCACAAACAGGCCGACAGCATGAAGGTACCCTGCATCTTTCAAAGGCTGGTGATAATGAAGACTCTGGAACGCCTACTACGGAAACACTTCTAGGGGTACGGGTATATCCTTAAGACACCTTTCGACTTATTCTCTTTCAAAATCTAAAATGTCAAGGGCTACACCTTTGAATTCAGGACTGTAGCTTTACAAAACGAGAAACCTATTACGACTTGCTAAGGCTTGAATTGAAGAGCTTACTATTCAGTTTCTGCGAGTACGTATATACCCTCAAAACACCTCTAGACCTACTATCACAGAAATCCTACGATGGAAACGACTACACGCTGTAAATCAGAGCTACGGTCTTGCAAGACGAGAAACCAATCATAACTTGTTGAGGCTCAAATTGAAGAGCTTGCTGTCAAACTCCTGGGGGCGTACGCATCCCCTCGAAGTGCCCCTGCACCTATGATCTTGAGGAACCTAGGATGTCAAGGTTTACAGGCTGTGGATTAGGTCTTAGAAACTACCGTACTCGAGACTATGAACGAGTAGCATCTCCCATGTCTTTCGGGCAAAGCGTCTGTACCTTTTAAGTCCCCCTGGGCCTCCCACCATTGGCAAACCTATAATGTAAAGAGCTACATGCTCTGGTTCAGCTCCCGATCATGGAATTGCCCTGGAGTCCCTTCGTCTATCGACCCCGCCCCCAAATCGCAAAATTCAATGCATTCATGAGCCCCGCTTTGGAAGAGAAGGGCTTCGGATCGGGCCATAGTGCACACCCATTTAGCAACGCCTGAGGTGGCTTGGAAAGCTATTAGGACCGTCGAAATGATGGAGTTTCAATGTTTTTCAATAGTCTGAGGCGCCACAAACGGCGTCAGCACGGTTTCAGCGAGTTCGTGTCCAAGCATTGAATTCGTCAAGGGGACACATCGATAGCTAAATTCCGCCCCTTCCTGCCAAACGCCTGTCTGAACCCTCCATACTTGCCCAATAGCTCGAACCTATTGAGCGGCCTCCTAGGAACCGTGAAGCCACCCAATCCCTCCAACTTCGAAGACAGAGTCACACTAGGAGGAGAGTAGAATGCAGAGACGGCGCCGCCCCTGCCACTCAGCGAGAGAAAGGCTTCGAAAGCATGTTCTTGACGGCAACCTTAGCCTGCCGGGCGTTGGAGGAGGGGTCCGGGACGACAGTCCACTTGTTTAAGAGTACACAGCGACGCATGGTGACGGTCTGTGGAGCGTGGTTGATGCCTTCGCCGCCGGTCATGTGAATGGTAAGCTCAAAGAGGCGCTTGGAGTCTCTCCTGACAAGTTGTTCGACGTCGCGCGGCGTAGGGAAAAGCTGGCTGAAGAAGATCTGGCAGTGGCCTTGTCGGCGCTGAATCTGTGCTCTTTGTTAGTAAGCCGCTTCTTTTGGCCCCCGATTGAAAAGGTTGACTTAATTGCTGCTGATGAAGGACGCATTGCACCTCCGCCTTGCCCAGCCGGCGGCAGTGCCTTAGCGGCGAGAGGCGGGAGTAAGGGGTTGGGTCGTCGGTGACGTTGACAATAACGGAGACGGTAAGTTGCTCTCGGTGGACACCAGCGGCTCCCAGGTAGTCGCTAAGATTGACGATTGATACCACGACGCGGTGCTGGATGCAGTATTCGAAGGAGTCACGGTTGTCCTCTGCATAACCCGGGGGCCAACCAAACGAGAAGATGGTGGACATTGTAGACGTAGGATTGATGTAAAAAGAGGCTTCTGTGGATATCAACCATGGAAGAGCAGCTGGAGGGCCGCTCGACCGCGCTTTTGTCGGTGAACGGCGAAGGAGAACACCCGCGCGCAAAGTTGAGAGAGCTAGCCAGCTCCGAGCACACGCAGGAACACGAAAGCTGGTGTCGCCAGCAGTTCGGCTTCGCATTGCAAGCTTTCTCCGCCAACGGAGCGCGACTCTTCGAACTGCGGCTGTTCGATACTGGAATTGGTCGCTCGTCCGACTATCTGAGAGTCTTCACCGCCAACTTGAAGGTGTCTTAGCTCTTGAACGCCCTGCGGATCAAGACCATTTTGGACTAGTTACATGTTAATAATGCTACGTATCGGCTCGCATCCTTGGTATTTCTGGCTGACAGGTTCGAATCAGCCCAGGAAAGTCGACGAAGTGACAAACCCTGCGGTCGCCCACATCCTACCTCGCAAGGAGGAGATGGAAGGAATGGGTGAGGAATGCTGTCCGAATCCCCTGTTTATGAGAGCCACTATGCCCTGCCAGGCAGGAAAGAAAGAAGAGATGGTGTTCGTGCGGGAGTCCATCATAAAGGGGGAGTGAGGACCTGTCAAAGTATCAAGGCGACGGCGAAGAAGCTCATAGTCAGGGTCTGGGGTTGATGTAGCGAGCTGAAAAATGCTGCAATCTGTATCTTACGGTTCGCATCTGATCACGCGTCAGTCGAGGGATCGATGGATTAAGTGCACAGACTTTTTGTCGTTGCTACACGCATAGTTTGTCCTTCTACTCCAAAAGATGACAGCACGGGAGAGTCGTATTCAGTCGGGTCCTTTAGAGGAAGCTATTCATCTGTACCACATTCCATGTTCCGCAAGGCACCTCAAATACAGCGTATGGGGAACCTTCGTGGTTTTGCGTCTCGGCCTGTGGTGTATGAAGAGCAATGTTCTTCGCCTTCCTTTGGCTCCCCGACAACGCTGATGCCACAGCTGAAAGAATCGATGGAAATTAGATCCTCCCACATGCCAAACAATACTCGAAGAACTGTACAGAATGTAGCCCTCCCTGGACCTCCACAACAAAACAACTAACCCAGCATAATGACACCGAAGGCTCCTTGCGAAGCAGGAATGTTGTTGGTCCACTCCTCGTCCTGCTCATCCTCCTCGTCCTCCTCGTCATCTTCGTAAGCATATTCGTACGAGAGCTCGACCCGCCACCACCTGGCGTGGTACTGGTCCCGATGAGTGATCGCTTCTGCATCGGCCTGACCGGTGGCGGAACGATGATATGAGGTCGCCGCAGTCTGACGAGACAAGGACCGTTCAGCATGATTCGCAGCACGTCATCGTGAGTGGGCAGGAGGTCCTAAACAATGAAGCCTGTCAGCCAACCCCATCGCCTTTTCCGAGCATTCCGGTGTTTACTCACGTAGTTGGGCCCCGAGTCTACCGCGCGGACCTCGAGGGTCAGCTCCTCTAGGTTCACGCTGAAGCACTTGCGGAACTGATACATGTAATCGAACGAGTCGCTTGCCCCTTCGGTCAGGATTTTGAGGTGGCGGCTGGACGTGGTCGGAGCTGGCGAGGCAGACTAGCCAGATGAGGAGGACGTCCTCGTCCATCTCTAATCCATCTTCCTCGTACAACAGGGCGTGTTCCCTGCGGAACCTGTGACGAGACATTGGTAATGGCTGTGTTGGAATTTTCTGTCTTGAGGGTGGTTTTGGGTGTAGATGCTCCTGAGTGGACCAGGCGTTGCTCCGACATCACCATTTCGCTATCATGGACCGTGAGAGACCGCGATCTGTGAGAGCACATCGATTCACCCTCGAAACATGGCGGCCATCATTCTCGGATGTTGCCGTGCCACCGTACGATTCATATATTTCGGGCAAGCTGGATTTAGGTCGATATGTACATAAGTATTGAATGTAAGGAAAACACGCTATCCTCCCCCTGCAAGTCCCATCACCTAGGCTGAATTCCTGTAAGGTCTTGCTGATTGAGAGCACCAGCTATCTATGAGCCGTTTCCGAAGCCAAATCTCCCGCCAAACCCGTGTCCATTGCCGAGATGTAGGAGTTATTGAAGACAGCTCCAAAGGAACAAGCTAGACACAGAGCATTGCTAGACACCTACAGATAGATTTATTAGCCTAAGCCTCAATCTTGAGTCTGCGACAACATACCTTCGTTCATCGCTTCACAAATCTGACCCTCCGCACAGACTTCTTGACAGCCTTGAAGAGCTTCGCGAAGGCCTCCCGCTTCTTCAAGTACCGTACCTGGACCCATTCGCCGTCATCCCGATGTCGACGGAAGGACGCACGCGCCGTAACCCCAGGGGTTTCTCGGATCAGGATGGAGAAAGTGGCCAGATTCGGAGCACACTGCCGCGCCGTTTCCGCAACCTCCGCAATAGTGGGGAGCAGATGCCGAGCTGGGTTGCGCAGCAAGATCAAGTCACGGAGGTTCTGATATACGCGGTTAGTCCGGTGTGGTTTTCAAAGGCTCTCAAATCAGCTAACCTTCAGATCTTTGGAGGTGTAGAGCCACAATTCGAAGTGCTCAAGGCCGACACAGTTCAGATTGGTAGCAAGATCGCTGAGGTAGTCCGCAGCAATCTGAATGCCGTCGGCCCAGATCTTGGCCTCGAGCTTGCGCAGATACTGGAGGTCGGTTGCCTTGTGGCAAACTTGGCGAAACTCGTGTCGACTCAGGATGCACTTAGCAATTGCACGGTCGAAGGCGGTGTCTTCGAGGGTGACAGCGTAGAGAGACTCGGTAAGGTCTATTTCGAATGCTGCTTGAGCCATGGTTTTGGTGCTGAGGTAGGATTGAGGTTGCTGCGGACGAGGTTAGACAAAGTCCGAAGCGAGTTGAAGTACGCCAGACGGCTGCGCGGATGGGGGAGTGAAGTGGCAGAGGGAGTGAAGTTTAGCTTGCATGGACCTTCACAGGAGATTCGACCCTTCCAAGGGCTACAACCGGCTCATGTGCGTGACAACACCCCAAATCTCACACTTGTGATTGAAAATATGAGATTCGTAACCTTGAGGCCGAGGGAATGGAGGGCTTTGGGAAAGGCATCACAATGAAGAAGTGTAGATGATTCAAAGGCTCCAGCATATAGGGTTCGAATTGTGTGCCATTAATCATGCTCTTGTGCTATATCTATGTACATCCTCTTGCCCGCCTGTGGTCCCTCAAGATAACTGTGCATCGTCGAGCCGGATGATTTGTGGGAAGGAAAAGGTCGGGGAAGTCCGGTGAACTGAGTCGAGTAGTGGGACGGGCAGCATGCAGGTTGGCCGTGTGAGGAGGAAAGTTGATGAAAAGCCGGATTATCGTAGGATTGGAGCTTGTAACGGAGAGGAGCGTCCACAACAACTAGCTACTGGCGACGACGTTCAGGCGAGACTTGGATCTCCCAAAGTCCTTCGCCTGCGCGGATGAAGGTACCGACGACCGCACCGCCCTGCTTCCGCTCTTTGTCCATGATCGTGATATCGAGGTGGCTCAGGTGCGGCAAACTTCGGTTCCTCAGCCCCTCCACGTCGAATATCAGCGGCATGAGATTCTAATAGTCAATGTATTAGCCAAAGTTGTTAGGAATTTGTGTGCCGCTGATGTACTCACGCAGCTTTTAGCCGAGTTCTCTGTCTCAATATTGAGAACGAGACGCTCGACGACCTCGTTGCGGACGTTTTCGAAATGCTGGAGGTAATCTTTGCACCACACAGCTCGTTTTGCGAAGAGGTTCAAAGCAAGAGTCGTTTCTTGACGGTCTTCGCGGAGGAGATCTGCTAGCGGCATCTTCGTGGTCACCTCCACAAGCACCTCAGCTCCATCCCTACCAGCCATATTGTTGTGACTTGGTCGTTTGTGTGAGATATGTGGGCGGTTAGGTCTGGAAAATGGTTGTAGTGTTGTTAGGTGTTGGTGGAGTTAGCCTAGCGTTGCTCCGACATCATTCCCTCTCTACACCGAAGCGAAGCGAGCAGACAGGGGTGCCCGGCCGCGATTTGACACGGTCCCTCAGAACTGCGAAGCAGAAACAGTCGGCACAGCCGGAAAGCCCTATGAACTTGAGGTAGAATTCACACGTAGACTGTAAATCGAAGGCAAGCTGAATATAAGTCTGCACACGCTGCGCACGATTTTTGAGGCGAAATCAGGCATTACTGGGGTGCACTGCACGCCCGGATCGCAATAGGCCAGGATGGGCCCGAGCGAGGTCCAACGAGTCATTGGAGTTGTAGTAGAGTGGACTTGATATTGAGAGAATCACTGTAACGAGCAGCCTTGCCATTGACACGAGGAAACTATGTAATATAAAGATTGAGCCGTAGAAGCACACCGAACCCACTCCTCCAACCCCATCGTATCGACAGTGCACTTAAAACACCACGCTAATCCAAAGCACTGTATGTGTTTTAGTAGTTTTCGCATCCAAAATCACCACCTCAGCCCGTGTCCGCTCCCCAATCATATCCAGTGGCAGGCCAATTCCAATAGCTAGAACTCCGAGCAAGACACACTGAGCCCTGTGTAAGATTGTGTCCCGCAGTGTCACCACTCAATTTGAGTGCGTACATCTTTGCTACTTCGCCTCAGTGATTTCAGCGTCCTCCGAATCTAGACTTATCGAGGGAAGCCTTGACGGAGTTGGAGAGAGTACGGAGACTCATTGGCTTCTTCACAGCCTCCATTCCTTCCATAACTGGTTGTTGAAATCAAAGGCGAAGGCCGCCCGGGCGGTGACTCCGCTTCTACCCATTACTATAACTCTTATGCGGGCTAGTGTCGTGGAGCATCTGGATGCAAGCTGTGCGATTTGTGATATGCCGGGGAGCAGCTGGCGGGCGGGACGTCGCCGCAGCAGCTAGGGACAGGTATGTGCAAATCGGAGAAGGTGAATACAAAGGCTGCCAGAGGTTTTCATCCGTTGAAATATATCTGATGCTCGCTGCCGTGAAGGTTTAGAGGGAGCGAAGCTGCGCCTGCTTGGACTCTCACCAGAAAGTTGATTACGGGAGGCACCGGGAACTTCCCCACATGTGTCACCCCTCCTCAGGTCTCACGGCGTTGGTTGTGATTCTGGAATTACATTACCTTGAGGGTAACGAAATTTCCCTGTTTTACGGTAGACAAAATAAGATTGAGACAGTGATTATACAGAGAAGTAATTGAAGATCTGTCCTATCAAGCCGATTTACTCGTTCGGAAGACTACAAGAATGTATAGGAGCTGGGTATCAATGATAGTCCCTTTTGGAGCTGGTTGCCGTGTCTCCTTCTTAACAAACCCAGAACACTCCTCCTGTGTTATTGTTGCGGCCGTGCTGGAACATCTCCCAGTATGAGGGGAACAGAATCGACAATCAGCAGTTGAAAAGGTTCAGTGCCGGGCGAAGCTTCTTACCTCTCTATGTGGGAGTCTTGCACTTATGCTGTAGTTCCAAAAACCAGATCCATCACCTATGCGCCAAAATTATCAAGCGTGGCTACCATGTACTCTCATCCCGTATAAATGAACCGACGCCATCTCATTGACGCGCGGATGTCGTAGTTGTTTGCCCAAATCGTAAACGTGACTCGGTAAGGAGGATACATTAGGTCGAGATTCTGTATTGTTCGATCTTCCTCCCACTCATTGCCGAAAGGTGTGGGAAAGAGGGCGGTTGGTTCGTAGTCAATTGGTCGAGTCTGAGAAGAGCGCGCGTTGATGCTTCCTAGGCGGGGGTCAGTGGGTGCAATCCCGCGGCGAATGATGATGTCCGCACTGTCCTGGCCGCGGGAAGCGACCTCGATACGCAGCCAAAGCAAGGTTTTGGAACATTGCGGAGCCATGATGTGCGGAATTCGCCCAAGGACGGCAGGAGGCCCTGCTGCTACGTTAGCTAATCAGATTCCGACATCCCAAGCTCTCTGTGTATGGCGGCGTATGTAATCTTACCTGAGTTGTATGTAAGTAACCTGCCGCATAGACCACGACATGAAGGTGTGTAGCTGAACTGTTGACATGAGGTTTGAACAAATCTAGCCAGTCGATGGCCACCTCGATGTTTGCTAGCAGGACAAGGCTGACATGTTCATGATGGTGACCCTTTACGAAACCCTGCAAGCGGGCAAGGAACACATAGCTTGCACAGATGCCGAGAATGAGGATGCAGTACAGGAGCAGAAACCACATCTTGAGGTCCTTGAGGACGCAATGGAATGGGCCTGAGGATGCAAGGCGGCGAGCTTCCTTTGCGCGGGACTGCGCGTGGTGCGGTCGTCGAATTGCTGGAGCGGATGATTAGAGTTCTCTTCGGTGTGTAGCGGAGAAGTATTTCGAGCTTAGAGGATGACGCCCTACAATTGTGAGTTTGTGGATGATACCGAAGTCGCAAAGCTGCCTTCTCGGAGAAAAAGAGAGCGCTTTGGCCAGTGCGCACCTCTCAGCCAATCACATGAGGTGTACCCCCGCCACCTAGGAGTAATTCTACATGCAGCGCGTGAAGCAAAGCTTCAGGCTTCTTACAGAAAAGAAGTAATATCATTATTATACTCTTAGTGCAAGCTGCGCTCTCTATACACAAAGTCCTAGTTAGAGAGTGACTTGAACTACCCCCCTTCTCTCACCGGACAAACCAAACGCCAGAAGGAATCTGGTACCGCGCACTGACTTGCTGTCCACCTAGACTACCAGTCTACCAGATACATAAACAAAGGCCTCTGACTGAGAAATATACAGTGCAGCTCATACTTAGTCCTCCGGGCCTGATTTTGAGGCGAGGAGAGATTGTCACAGAAGATACCCAGATCTGCAGACCGCAAAACTCAACATTGTCGCTGATTTTACTTATCCCTTTCAAGTCTCTTAAAGCGCGTCATTCAACGAGCAAACACCCAAACACAAGGTCATGATTTATATGCTCCTAGATAACGTACGCTCGATGAATCAGTAGAAGTAGTTGGGGTGTGTCTTGAGGTGTTTTGCGCCGAGAGAAATCACAACTCCAGTCCGAAGTGTCTTGGAAATGGCATAGTCTATTGGTACTTTTCGCATGCTTAGGGCACCTCTAGCGGCTGTATCAAAGTGGAAAAGCTAACAACTCCGATTTGCACAGCTTGCCACATGTCATAGTTTCCAGATCCAGCTCGATGGCCAAGGGCACCTCTAACAACCTCAGATTCCACCTTCGCCAGCATGTCGGAAACATCCACACCCCCTCCAGCCCCTCGCCAGACGATGAGAGAGCGCAGACGGGAGGTTTTGGGCTGGGCAGACGCCTACGACGACTCTCTGACCTTCAAAGACCTGGAAATATTCTTCACCATCCCGGAAGTCAAGGCGTGCGAGACGATCAAGATCTGCTACGAGCTTCCAATCCCCGATGAGTACCCCGACTCGATGGAGTTTTCAACTACTTTCGCGGGCATCATGGGCCCCTTCACCGCCCTACACAGCGACGTCCTCCGCCACATCGAAGCCAAGGTGCTATACGAGGCGAAAAAGAACCACGTAAGAACCCGAATATCCTTGGTTCATTGCTTCGCAGGCCTCATATTAGTCATATAGTTTCCCACAAGCATGTTGGCTGAGAGCAGCGCGTGGCTGGCGGAATTTGTGGCCTCCATCAGCACGAGTCTCAGAAGCATCAAGCTGCTCCTCATTCAAGGCAATCAGACAGACCAGCCCGTGTTGTTCAGCTACCGAACTAAGGCTGAATACTATAATTGTGACACCGCGGGCGGGGCGTTGGGCCGTGCAGGCCTAGGGTGGCGGGAAACCATCACCGTGAGGTCGTCTCTGGACGACCCTCCGGAAGATCAGGAGTGGAGCGATGTGTGTAAGTCATGCTCAGAGCTGTGTACACCAGCTACTTACTAATGTAGCACAGTTCCTCGTCGTCGTCAAGTTCAGGCAGCGCCGAGGCGGCGTAACGTCTGAGAGTTTGTTGGGGGAGAGGTTGCTGGCGGCATTGGGGCCTGGTGGCTACATTCGGGGGGAATGGTTGTTTAGGGGTTATTAGCTGATGAGTCAAAGTCGAGAGTTATGATCGCCGTGCAGACTACCATAGTTGGCTCTGTTCGTGCACATGCAGAAGTTTTTCAGAATCGCAGTTCTCGTCCCCTCCAACGGCTGCGAGACCCTCAGCACCAGCCCCTAGAAGTCAATGAAAGGATCATCTTCAGCACTCGCAACCGTAGCCTTCTCCTGCCCAGTTTCCTCGCCATCCGCATTATACCCATCCACCTCAGCGTTCTCTTTCCCCTCAGAATCAACACCATTCTCTCCATCCACCTCCCGTTCTCCCATCACTACATCCTTTTCAAACTCCACCTACAATCCTTCCTCAACAACGCCCCAGACTGCTCCATCGCCGCCTTCGCCTTTAGTACCTCTGCGAATTCAATCCAGAGACCACCCTCTGCGGTCCGATACCGCAGAGCCGGGTTCGCGTCCCACTCGCACGTCAACAATATCAGACAATGCTCCACATCTGTATGACCAGAATCATCTGGCCGTACCGCAATCCAGCTGTTCCGCTGTCGGCACAAAATGCGTCCACGTCCTCTTGCATCTCGCGGCTCATACGCCAGGTTGGGCTGTTGATGAGGCTGGCCGTAAGCCGGCGGCGTATGGCAAGCAGCGAGTGTTCCCGCGCTTCCCGCGACGGCGGCGGCGGCGGCGGAGGTCGTGCTGGGGTACCTGTTCGTAGATCGGTGGTTGCCTCGTCGTCCGCGGCGTAATGTGAAGGATGCGCATGATCATTCTTCGGAGATCTCTACCAGACACGCAGTTGCAAACTGCGTCCTCGACAGTCTCGATGGCGAGAGACTTGGTTCCACAGGACGGCACTCAGGTTGAAATTGATGTGAACTCTGATTCCTATAGATGTCTAGCTCGTTGTTTATATACTAGGGGAAGGAGGGGGGCCACCCCCGGGGGCTTGACGTGGCGGATCTCTTGATGCGTTGCTAGTTACATCCTGTTACATGATACAGTACTGATACCGTGCTACGGCACTGCTGTTGCACTACCTATTACTTCCTCCTGTATCAGCATGCCATCCTGATGCGTTACTGGCATATGAGTTGCTGATCCTAGGTTGTAGTGCTGCAACCCGAGTACGGCGACGTAGTTGTGTTTCTGGTAGGGCGCCTAAGTGAACAGAGCGCTCAGATACAGTCCTCGGAGTTATGCGCTTGATGATGTTGGGTGGGAGGCGGACAGCGGGCGAAGGGGCGCCTTTCCTGCTGGTGTCGGCGGCGTTGGCGTTGGCGCTGAGGTCGTAGTTGTGATCGGCTCCCGGCAATGCAAAGAGAGGATGATATCAAGTCGACAAAGGGTCAAGAAGGAGAAGAGAATGAAGCAGGAGGATGTCGGCGGCGCTGTAGGTTGGATGTGTTGGCTGCTCTTCCTGGGCAGTTACATTGTTGTCATTGAGAGGATCGAAGCAGGCACATTGCTCTGCAGGGGTTGAAGAGGACTTCCTGCAAATACTCCTCATATTCTCGCGACTGGGTAGGATCAGAATGGTGGTAACCCTGAAGCTGGGCGTGATATCTTAGACGAAGGTGGACGGAAGGTCGTGATGCCGGGCGGTGGAGTCTAGAGCTTCAAGTGTCCCGAGGTTAATATGCACTTTGCAAGGAGTACAGAAGCACATAAGATGCTCGCACCAAGTTCTCTTACGATGCTTCTGAACGCTGAAAGCCTACTCTTCTTGTGTCGCCGGTGGAGGCTCTTGGGACGCGTGGTCGCTGCACCGAATTAGAGTTCACAAATGTCGAGGGTGGCCGGGAGACAAGGAGGCGGCTGCATAGGCTATTTGGGTACTCTGCATGTGGTGTGCGAGTATGTTTCATTCGGTGATGGCGGTGAGGGCTGTGGTGTTGAAGTCCGTGTTCACGCAGCCGCCGCATCGATATGACGGCGGAGAACACAGCTCGCGATTGCTAGGGGGCTTTGAGATTAAAGAAGCACACGAGCGCGAGATAATAGCATGTATACCTAAAAGAAAATATAGAGTGAAGGGTCTAAGGGCGCCCCACGGCTCCATGGTGTTGAAGTGGCAGACGCCCACCCCCCGGCTCAGCCGCCCCCCCAGCTCGCCACACCACCGCGCGTTCCTCTACGCGTAGCTAATGATCACGAACACCCAAGAACTTCAAAAATCAATAGCAAAACACCACAACGCCTACAGATAGATCTACCTAGATAGAAAAAAAGAGCAAAAAAATGTTTCCCTCCTCAGGGCTCTCAGCGGATACCGCTTCGGGTGTCGAACCCGGCTCTTCTTGTTGTGAGCTATGATATATGTTAGCGATGTTTCTTTCTTAACCACCCTCACCATGGACGGGTGAGGGCGGGAGACAGTCCAACTTATGGCCTTTATATACCTGCAAAATAAGTCAGTGCGGGGTCTGAGCTATTGGGATGTGGGCCGGGATCGCGGAACTCGCCGCACCGGAGCTTGGTGCAATACTCCTGACGAGGGGCGTCAATTAGTTTCAGGCCTCAACGCACGCACCAACCTTGCTCCTGCTGCGGAGCCTGGCTGCCCGCTGTTGAGCCTGGCTGCCCGCTGTTTAGTCATGTAGCTCACAGCGACATAGATGCAGGTTGCAGTGCCTTCACGCCCCCGTCATACACCCTCAAAAGTGGTCAGCGCGTTCCATAGAAGTTCTCCTCACTTTACAAAATGTAGTTGCACCCGCAGCGCAATCGGGAATCCAAGATGCGGCGTAGGTCGCTCTTGGTAGCCCGGTGATATCCACCCACGCTTACCAACATACAAGTAGAACGAGAGCAGAACGCGGACAGAATGCGGCCGGAATACACTGAGAACGTCACACACTTGAGCTTTTTTCAGACCGCGTCTGAGGATTTCTGCCAAAGGCGTGTACTTGCACGAGCCTTCTCGCAACGCGATCGAGACCTTGGCCGAGCTTATCTGCATGGCTTTGCGGATCCTGAACTTCGTTTTTCTTACGGCGAGTCGACAGTTCCCAAATCATGGTGATGTGCTGACAGACTATAATTCTTTACACACGCGTTTACCAACAATAAGGCTGGCTCCATGGGGTTCGCAATATCTAGGCGCAGTGACGATTCTCATAAAGCGAAGGTTGAGCTCTCCCTTGTTTCAATGGCTTCCTACTAACGAGACTGCTCCCGCACGTGGTGCTTGGCTTCCAAAAGCGGTATTTCTGCACCCAAGCTTACGGCCTAGTAACGTGCTAATTCCAACTATCTATGTTTGAGTTTTCGGCTCTTTTTACTCGTCTGCTCCTGCTTTCAATAAACTCGGGATGCTTTTCGCTGAGATTTGAGAATTTCTGCACCACCGCAATCAAAGCGGTTTCATTTTGAGGGTCTCGAGTGCGAGCTTGACCACTACAGTCGAATCCTATCAAATTTCCTAAACAACTGCATGATACATAGACTCGCAAAACCCGTCATTGGGAAATGAACCTAGGATTTGAGAGTATATACTATGGCAACGCTGCAGCGGCACTGCGATATAGGGAAAACGCAAGGTTTTCATTCAATGCATTCCACTTGTAACCCTTTTTCTCAAGTTCGCCATGCTGCTGCGATCGCTCTCAGAGCCTTGTGCTATGGCCTGGGCTTTACCTCCTGCAAATCGATTATGTAGTGTGAAGGCTGATAACCTAAAAATTCATGTGAAACAGAGGCGGCATATTCACGAACTTTTGATACCAAATAAAATATCCTATACGTTGACTGTATCGGATAGCTAGATGAGGACATGTCGTCCAAATAAGCATCGGCGCTGGCTCGGTTCCGTCCCATGTCGGCGCTGTGGGGCCGGATGTCGCTTCCGTCTAAAATTCCAACGTCAACACTCAACATTATCGCTACTACCGCCATTCTTCATCCATCAACGACATCGATTCCGTCAAGGCACTCTCCATGAGAACTGTTGGCGCAATAGCGAGTATAGCGGTGGACAGACGCATCGTGCCACGAGTTGAGCGCGGCGCCGGGACCTCCGGGAGCGACGAGACACGGAGGAGCCTTCGATCCATCGATACGTCTCTGGTTCTTCGTTCGTCATCGCCCCAGAGCTATAGAACGTCCTCTACTGACTGTGAAACGATGCAGTGGGACGATAAGTAGTGGAGACGCTTCTAGGCAGCGTTATTGTGCTTTCAACTGCCGAGCATAGGCCTCTGGGATGGTGTACTTTGTATGGCGAAACAGCGTTTCCATTGGAAGACAATCTTTGACGACCGAGGGTAAGAGCTTGACGGTAAGAATACGAGACCAAGTAGGTGCTCGAAATTCCTCTTGAAATTATGGTATGGTAAATGCATCATTGATATCTCTTCCTTAGTCGCACCGCTCTTAGACTCTCTTCTTCAATCGGCTTCATTGAGAGGTTTCCGTCATGGTGCATGTCATTCTCATCTCGGTTCATGTCCGCCTCATTCCAAGTAGTCAAAGTGCCTTCAACCCGCCGTCCTGAAGTCACAGGGCTGCCATCTTAGTTCAGGAAATTGCCGCCACCCTAGTGATTTTGCGAAGTCTGTTGCTCATCTCTTTTCCAAAGCTCCGATTACTAGGTCATCATCAATGCTATCCATCTCAATTGGAAAAGTGCTGCAGGTACACCTCAGACACCTCTATCATCCTTCTACTCCGGTTTCGTCGTCAGTTCAAATTCGCCTCGCAAGGTAAATGGCCGTCGTAAATCTCTTACAATGATTGATAAAAAACCGCCGTTGGGAACCCGGGCTTTCAGGCCCCGTCTCAGGCTAAATGCATCAGCAGAGCAGATGGATAGCGCATCGTGCAGCTCGCTAAGCAGCAACCAGCAGTCTACCGTCCAACAACACCCGTGCAGTACCCTAACTCGTTTATTCTCCGCCACCCCAATGCTCATGTTGTTCTCGCTGACAGCGCCGAATTCGGATTGCTTGGATCGTACGGCTAATAGACTCGCACGGTACTTGCTTATCCACTAGCCGACGGTCGCTGTGATGGCCTCCGGCCTCGCGGCTTCAGGTAGGATCAAGAGCTTCATGTCGAGTTCGGCGGTCTTTGTGGAAGGCGTAGCGGAGCCGGCCGATGTGCTGAGCATAATAGCTGCAGTTTTGAGGAGGATGGACACGACATTGGCTTGGGCCTGCAGTATTGTGGCACCTCGTCCGAAGCAGCGGATGTGCCTTGCCAGGCCCCGGCTCAGGCTGGCCAGGCGGGACTCGAAATGCTGGCCGAAGGGGCTGCTGGTGGAAGCGTCAGGCAATATCGATATATCAAGGCCCCGTCCAAGCCAGGCGCGACGGAGCGGCCCCGGCGATGGAGACTGCACCTAGACTTGCCTAGGCCGGCGACGACGCAGTGTTTGCGGCGCAGAGGCTGCAGGCAATGCCAGCGCGAGAGATAAGGGTATTGGCATAGAAGAGCTGGCGACAATCGTGCGGGCGAGGAGAGGGCCAAAGGAGAGGGATCCGGCGGCGGGCGCTTCGGGGAAGACGTCCCTGATGACGAGAAGATATGGGCAACGCAGACGTCTTGTTGACTGATGACTGCTGCTTCATCTCCATTTGCCGACCCTTCCAATTCTCCTCTTCTCATTGAATCTTTATACCCGGCTTCTTTAATCCATCCTGCGTCCTCGTTTTCATTCATCTACCTTCACACTCCATAGGATATCAAGAAGAAAAGTCGTTCCACTCCTGGCGGCGCCAACAACCCACTGGCGTTCAAAAAGCTATAAAAGATGATTCAGAAACAGGAAAACGCCAAATTGGGACGTACTTGCCGCCGTCGGGGGTGGAACGTTGTGGATTCTGGACCATCCCTACGATGATAAGGTCGCGACACTCCAAATCAGAGTGGTGGTTCGTCGGCGCATTTGAGATGGTTGGAGAACCCCATAACCTTTCTCCCGAGCAGTTATTAACATGTAATAAGTCGAGCTGCTCGAATCAAGACTCCTAGAAGGCGGGCTCGAAAATCCGACTTGGGGTACTACAGCCCACTTTCAAAGGCGTTATTGAGGTGTCAGGTGTGGCTGAATTGGCTTCCTTGATCTCTTCCATGGTTTCTGCTTGCGCAGAGAAAAGGCGCGGGAGCCTTGCGCTTGTGAAACGGATCCATCGAGCAAGGAGTCGATTTTTGGCGTGACGAGCTTGACATGGTAGGCGGCGTTCATTTTCTTGGGCGGGCCACCTCCGGCGGTGCCATCTACGCTCCTGTGAGCCTATGTCGATGCCTTCAATTCATCATGATGGGGCTCTAACATCGTACACGCTGCTAGTAAAGTAGCCGGTGAGTGTCTTCGAACCTCCCAAAGTCATCGTCCGGGATGCGATCAGATTCGTATGGGCTTGGCCTCTACATCATGTTCTCACGGCCCGTCCTCCACGTTTCCGCTCCAGACGGTGCCATATTCCTTCGTATTGGCGCCTCGGAGAGGCTGTGCAATTTCGAGGTTGTTCCCTTTGACATCATGGACTGCTTTTTTTCCGTGAGCTATTCCACTCCTGCCACGGCTGTCTTGCTTGTAAGCAAGCTCCTAGAACGTAGGTCAAGATTCTGGGGTCCTTACCTTTACATTGCTTACGATTTCATTTTCAGTGCAATTCCACCCCTGGCGGTCGTATCTTTGTCGCCCATGCTCCTTTTCGGCGTCATCTAGTTCTCGGCTCGGTGAGTCTGACATGGCTCACTGCTTTTCATCAGTATGTTGAGCCACTCCAGCCGATTTTTCCTGGCCTATCAATAGGCGTTGAAATGGGACGTTAGATACATGAGGTAGGTGGTCGTGCATTGTGTCTTCCTATTTTGCCGTCAGTCAAGCCACTCCCGACGGCGCCAAGCTGGTGCATCCTCCCGGTTTCAAGCCGTCGTCAGATTTTCGAGGTAGCGAACCTGACATCGTCCATTTTTCTCATTTCACTACTGAGCTACTCTAACCGCTGTCACCATCGTGCTCCTAAGCTCTTTTCTGGGGTGGTCCAATCTCGCGGGTGCGATCTTTACATCGTATACTGCTGTCAATTCATCTGTTGAGCCATCCCAAGCGTTGACAGCTGCTCTGCAGCCAGCTTCTTTCAGTACCCTAGATCTCGCTCATCAGTAGTCAACAATCAAATTCACGTCTCACATCAGACTCTCATCAAAAGCAGACAGGAACGAGCTTCATTTCAGCCGGCAGGGCACGCCGTCTTCTCCGCAACTGCACCCGCAGAAACCCCCCAACCCCGCCAAACACCCGACAAAGCCACAAAACTGCGCCCCAGATTAGCATGCTCCCTCACCACATATCCAGTGAACAACTTACAAAGCAACCCCCAACACCACGTCTCGGCACGCCAGCCATCATGAGGTCCAGGTCGCGTCGCTCCGAGCGCCTTACAGACCACACCGCAACCTCCCATACGCCCAGTACCCCCAGCCAGCTCTTGCAGCCAGTGCCCGCACCCGACAGCGGCCCCCTTCAGGCACAAAGGCCACCCGGACACGCCGCCGCGGGCTTGAAGCGCTGGCTACGAAGAGCTGCGGCCGGGAGCACGGGGAGGCGGGGAGGAGGGCGGGCCCTGCGCGGGCTCCGGGGTGGGTGGCGTCACCCGGCTAACAGCATTAGCAAAAGGCTTGTAGAGAGGAGCTGATTTAGGGGGGCTTACATGATGGGCACAGCAGCGACGCGGCGGAGCACGGCCGGGGGAGCTGGGCTTGGTGGGTTGTTAGTCAAGGTTGTAGGGCTTTTGGGGCGATTTGAAGGCGGACGTACCCGTAGCCCCGGAGGAGGAGCGCATCCCTGGACCGCGAGACGACCCGCACGGTCCGGGGGGTCCGGCTACGTCAAGAAGTCAGTCAAAGGTGTGTGGGTTCAGAGCTGGATTGGGCAGTACGTACAGCCCAGCCGGCAGAGGAGGCATCGGCGGAGGCGGCGAGCTGCGTGAACATCAACAAGTGTTACGTGTTTGTTGTAGGGCCCCGCGTGAGTGCGTACCTGGCCGGTGGTGGCGGGGAGTGGAGCCTCCTACGAGGCGCTCCAGCCGGCGATGAAGGTGGAGAGGTCGGGGCCGGAGGGACAGGCGGCGCAGGGCTGGATATATCAGTTATTGCTCTTCTTCTCGTAGTTGGGCTGGGGTAGGCTTACGCTGGGCGGGTCGGGGCCGGGGGGAGCCTGTATTCGCTGTTAGTGATCACCCTCTTTGTCAGCCAGAAGGAGGATTGTACTCACAGCGCGCCGGAGGGACCACGACCGGGCCACCTATAGCCTCGTCAGTAGAAGATCTTCTTTGATAACTAGCAGGTGGAGCTTACGCAGGGTCCAGGGCATAGGCAAAAGAGCCCAGCCTGGCCCTGGTGGCGGCCGTCGCCAGGCGGCCAAAGGTCTCGTCCGAGACGTCCTGCCGGAAGAAGTTGGCGGCGAGGGCGCGCTCGAGGGCACGGGCAGCATCGGCGAGAGGCTGCGAGTTTTGTTAGCAGTTGTCCTTCAAATCTCTATGAATGGCTGGTTTGCATGTCCCGATCGGGACACAGCGACCCCAAGGAGAGCAAGATCGTACAGGAGAGGGCTCGCGGGACGGGGCAGGGGCTCCAGAGCCAGACATTGTAGCGGCGCAGTTGGTGATGATGGCTTTGTGCGCTTTGGAAGCTGTGAGGCTGTCGGACGGTGGAGGAAAGCTATCACAAGTGGGGCGGGTGTAGATGAAGGACAGTCTTGGCACTGGCCGTCTATTCTGCACGATTAGGCGTAATTGGGCACATAGTTGCATGTTGGATCGCCTTCACCTTTATTCTAAAAGGTCTGCGACTTAGGATGCTGGTAAAATGTACTGAAAAGTAATGCTGGAGCAGTGCCAGACGTAAATTGAGCCTGCTGAGCACATGGGCTGCGCAAATTTCTGCGGCAGCCGAAGAACTCCTCAGCGGCGTCACCATCTTGCTGAATGCTTTTGTTCACAAGCTCGAATAGGGTGCAGGAGTTTCTATCGCTCCTTTGTACTGTCTAGATTGCGCTGGAGAACGGTCTCAGTTTGCTGGGTTGATCAAATCACTCTCAACACAAAGAAAATTTCCTTGAGGCGGGTATCGTCATGAATGGCTTTGACATCTTATCCACATTATCAAACAGGAATAAATGTCATAGAGAATCTTAGCGTTGGATTTTATGCTCATGAAACTTCAGTCCGTTTTAGCCGAGTACGTTTTACGGAGCTCAGATGGAGGTGGGACTGAAGATACTCCCATTTCCAACCTTCAGCTTAAATTTATGAGATCTGAACGCACTATATCATGAATGCAGAACCAGTGACTCGTTCCACCCATTCACAATCGCCATAGCCGTGTGCCGATGCCATTCTGTTAATTTGCAGGCCGTAGTATCTAAATTTTAGTAGGACGCGACATTATGTACATAACAGCATCCGGTTTGCTACTAGCATTGATTGCTGTTGGTGATTGTTATAATCTAACAGCCCCCCTTAAGCACATACAGCGAGAAATGATGGCGGGAATCCGCAAAGAAGCATCGTGAAGCTAATGATGATAAGGGCCGTATAAGTTGCCGCACGGCATGGTAGATAACTGATAAATGAAAGGAGCGACATCCTATGGTGGACGACAGGAGCAGCGTGCAATAGCTAAGAGAAGTAGCATCCTGCGGTGATGATAGAAGCCGCATGCGATGGCTGAGAGAAACATCGTACGGTGATGGTGGATGAATGGACAGGCGTCCGACGATGATAGCTGATATCTTGTGAGGATGGCTCACATCCTGTGATGATGGCTTACATCCTGTGCTGATGGCTTACATCCTGTGCTGATGGCGGCCGAATGCATCGAAGGAAAGCATCTAAGAAAGCGTTTGATGATGGATGAAAGGATCTGCTGTTGATACCATGCAGGAACAGGTGGACGACCTAAGGCTCAGGGCAGCGTTGAAACCGGGCTCATTACCTCTTAATTTGCAGGCCGTAGCATCTGAACATTGGTAGGACGCGACATTATGTACATGAAATCGCTCTGTTTGCTAGTAGTATTGAATGCCGTGGGTGATTGCTATGATCCAACACATTCCATTATTCCTCCGCCTCCTCCAAAAACCCAACAACGCCGCCAGCCCACTGGCCTTCCCTCTCCCACCACGGTAATCCTCCAGCTTCCGAGGAAGCAAGCATCATAACCGTCCATTACATTTTCTCCGCCAGAATAGAGCGGAAGTGAACATGGGTATCGCCGGGGGTCAACACCGAATCGATTTCGACGTGAATGACGATACTATGATTCTCCTGCCACAGTCCTTTGACCTCCTCGCTGGGCTCTGTTTTCCATGTGCCTCGTTCTCCCCTCTTTATTGGCTGCTTTGCCCTGCGAGCTCTTGCTCTTCATATCCTCCGTCTCCGCCGGCTGGCCATTCCTGTCCAAGGCGATGAGGGCATCATGGAGCCCTATCTTCCAGAGGAAAAGCTTCGAATCCCTGACGTATCCGCTCCGCTTCCCATCTTTGTTCCAGCGAGCAGTCAGCAGCTTCTGCAAGATCGGCTTGTGCGTGACAGGTTACACCGAGACTCAGAACGTTCCGGACGTTCAGATGCTGCACCAACCCCCGGAGAATTGTAGCCCACAACGCATCGTTCACTAGGATGTGACCCTGGGTATTCTGCTCCCATTCCGTCATCTGCGGTTGAGGGATTGCTGGATCTGGCACTTGGGACGATTTTGGGTTGATATCTTAGCTCTTGAGCCTCTTCCACATCGTACATGCTCTTGAGAACAAGGGGGAGCCAGCGGAGGGTCAGAAGCAGCGGAGGAACAGTGTCGTCGTCCGGCCACCACGGATTTTTTTAGCCATCATCGTCATCAGTAGCGGCGCTCCGCAGGCTGAACGGGCGAGCGACACGGGAGATCTGGCGGTGAGCGGACAGCGCTGGGCGGGCGCGCAGCTGGGCGCTCTCTGAACGACAACGTGAGAGCTCGGCCGGGCTCAGCGGGCTATGGAGCAACACCGCGGGTAGTCGTGAGGGCCTTGGAGTCCAGAAAGCGGCGATCGGGATAGTTCCAGGCTTCAGCGCGTTGTCGCCGCTAATGATGGTCTCGAGACTGACACACACCTCGTCAGCTTGTTCCGATGGGAAGAACGGCGCCATGTTTGTCCTGACCTTCTCCTCAGACCTCGGCCTCGAGCTTCGTCTTCCAGTCCTCTGCCACGGGATTTTATGCTTGCTCCCCCACCATGGTTTGGGCTTGTCTAAGTTGCGGAATACTCGGGGAGGCTACAAGAGCCCACGAGCCGTGGAAGGAGGAACGCGTCGAAGATGATTGCAAGCTCTGCGAACTGGCTGCTCGGCTCTCCACCAAACCTGCGGAGGGTACGGGGAGAGGGAGAGGGAGAGGTTGGAGAAGGAGAGGCGGAAGAAGACGAAGGAGGTGATAGGTCTAGCTCTCGGGGCAGGTCAAACATGACAGCTTGCGCTGCATAGCGGGGCGATGTTGTTGCCGGGTACCGTCTCCAGCTTCGCACATTTCCGTGGAAACGGCAGTGCGGCGCGAGATCCTCCAGCGGGCTGCCTACGGAGTGCAACACACCACAACTACAACGGCTCGCGAGGGGCGGCCGGCCAGGACGAGAGAATAGACAGACGCAGGCGCGGGCAGGTCTACATCCGCACGTAGGAGATACTCGTCGCGGCTGGGGACAGCTGCCTGCCTGAGTGCCCCTCTCGCAAGACACACCAGCGTACTTGAAGTCACCAACGTACCCACCATTATCGTCAAGGTCAACCAACTCCTCAATCCACCTGTGGGCAGTGATATGAACAGCGAGCAGATGCACGAGAAGTTTCTTCTTCAATCACCCAGACAAGCTGAGTTAATCAATGAAAAAAAAAGGTCGCGTCAGCCCGAAGTAGTGCAATACGAGCGACACTGTGTCCCCTGACATAGGCAAGCCCAGCGGCCAGGGGACGGTTTCCAAAGACTTTTCCCCCAAGCCCTGCGCCCTCGCGCCTCAGCGCCCCACTAGCCCTGAATGCCGGCACAGCTAAGCTGTGGGAGCTTCCCGGACTGACATACCGCGGTACAGGTGGGACGCTTGCAGTTCTGGAAGACAGTTAGTGATATTCTGAGGAAGTGATGAAAGGATGGTTACTTACAGCTGGGCAAGGAGGTTGAGTTGCAAAGGTGTCCGCTGTCTGGCAAGAATTTATAGGCAACGACGAAGGCTCGCTTAGCTACTTACTCATCATTTAGTCATCAACGCTAAGAGTTTTAATCAGGTCCACTACCCGGCGTCAACTAGGTCCGGCGCAGGCAACAGTGCACGGGCAATTGTGGAGCGATGTGGCTGAAGAGCGCCGACTCTCCGCTGGTTGCCTCGCTCGGCGTGGCTTGATAGATTTGCCAGTCACGGGACAGCAGTTCGTCGTCCTCTGCGAATGGCATCGAGCCCTCGGCGTCTTTCTCCAGAGCGATGGTGTCACAAAATTCAAGTCTTGTGTGTTGCGTGCATGTTGGAATTGTGTTGACTGATGCTATCTAAGAGAAGGGTTCTGCACGAGCCGTACACACAGCTTGTGCAAAGCGTCCTTGTTCTTGTGAGCGTGAACATACTTCCTTCTCTCACAGACGCCAGCAGCGCCTTCAGGTAATTCGGGAACAAGATGACAGCTGGCGCGGTTTCGGTCTCAGAATTGGCCGTGCAGGTCATCTAGATCTATAGATGCGGCCTCATTCTCAACCTCGGCATCTACATTCCCCGAAAGTGTAGAGACATCCGGTTGCACAGAGCTCGTAGTTATGGCCTCAATTTCCGTTCAAATATACATTGGGCATCACGCTACTCTCCTTTTTATCACGTAAATAAGCGCACTCATTTACTTCAGCAAAAAATCATGTTCAATTCTAACGACTTCCCACTTTCCTAGTTTTACGCTAGCAGTCACAAGACTCCGTCTGCCCCACAGGCGGAAGGAAGGTCAAAACTTGAGCTTTGGTTCGACGCAAGATGTAAGGACGGATAAGATCGTGCAAACTCTTGATGTTCTCGTTTGTCATTTCAGCGTACTCTTCCTAGCTCCACAGCCTTGTCCGTGTCGTCGAGGAACTGTAAGAGGTTGAGTAATTCTGTGGCGCTATCCCGAGGGGTTCCCGTCAATAGGACTCTGATTGGAGCCCTGAAAGCATTCAACGGAGTGCACAATTGCGACTTGTCCTTCTTCGAACGCTGGTCTTCATCGACGATCAGTCTAGCCCTTTGTGTATCCTTCCGTGTGGCTGTAAGTGTTTCGCCTCGTGATGGAGGGACGCTCGTCTTGCTGGATGCCGTCGCGAGCCGCCGTCGTGCTTCTGGTTCAAGGTCATCGAACACGGGTTCCCCTAGAAGGGCGGCTCCTCTAAGTACGGCGACACGAGCATTCGGATGAAGGGAGGAAGCTCTGGTGGCGTCCGTGGCAGTCTGATACGCCGCGGGCTCTGAAGGTCCTGCTGTAGCGGTTGACGCAAAGCCTTCCATCTTGGTGGTATCTTTGGAGATATGAATATCGGTAGTTCTTCAATCCTCAACTGTTCTGCGGCGAGGATGAACTCGGACCAGATACACCAAGAGCTACAAGTGCACTGTCGTAAGGTTAGACATCACATCGTCGGCAAGCCCTACATACATTAACAGATTTATGCATCAATTCTCTCGTACTAGCGCCAGCAGGCTCCGGCCCACACTCAACCGGAAGCTATGCAATTTCTCACGCAACCATTACCTATGTCAAGGATGTGGCGGGTGACGTCGCGGCCTTTGCAGACTGGACGGCGACCGCAGTGTGATTTGGGGCCGTTGAGATCAAAGTACTCGTTGATAGCTATATGGCTCCCTCAAGATTCCCGGTAACTCTCCTCCGTATGTTCCCTGGGCGGCCATCGTGGTCGGATAAGGCGGGGTCGAAATCGACGTACTCGGTGGAAATCTTGATTGAGGTTCCAGCGGAGGACCGCCGCTCTAAGGATCTCGTGGTCCTGTGTCTCGGCGCTAGTGGTATTTGATCTTTGTAAGATGCTAGTTCGGAAAGAATGGTAGAAGAATGGGCTTATCCCTACGTTCGACGCCGTTGGCCTTGGCGGCCTAGAGCGCAGCTGCGATGGTCAATGCTGTTGTTCGGCAATAAGAGATGCAGAGTGTGGATGTGCATATATGACTACGCCAAATCGGTTGTAGGACGACGGGTGGCACCCACATGTTGCACCGGGTCGTGAATGTCCACCTCCTATAAGCGGTTGTCGATGCCAACTTCTCGAGGTGAGCTGTTTCAATGAATCGCTGGCGGCTTTCCAGCAGCACGGCTCGTCTTATCAACTTCTATGGTCTGATCCTCTTCCACGGCTACACCGTGCCAGAAGATCTGTTCTCGCAAGCCGGAGATGTAGGGCAAGAGCCAAGTCGAAAGATATTCAGCGTCGCAGATGTGGCTTTATGAGACTTATTCGATTGTTGTGATGGCGACGGCGCCCCGCGCAGATACCTCCAGCATCAGAACGCTCGAAAGACGCGGCCGACGAGGTGGAAGAATAAGATCGCCTCCGCGCTTGGCGTTGTGGGCTTTTGCGGACAACAGGGGCGCTACGACTGTGAGTGTAGGTTTTCGATTCCTAGAGAGGCAGAGAGAGGTTGTACTTGCTTGGCTGGGCCAGCGAAGTTGTAGAATGAAGGTCGGATTTCCTTGAACAGGCGTAAGAAAATCCAGCGCCTGCTCAAAATGGGCTTAAGCAAGCCCTACGCGCATGCGTTTTTCGTCGAGGATGGCGGGTGACGCCGAGGCTTTTGCAGAGTGTGCAGTGGTTGCGGAGGGATTCGGCGTTTTCGAAGTTGAAGCAGTCTTTGAAGGCTCGACGGAGACTCTGACAAAGGCTTTGTTCCAAGGATTTGGATAGCTCTTCCGTGCATGCTCCTCAGACAGCTATTGCGGTGGGATGAGGCGCGGTCGAGATCTGAGGCACTTGGAGGAAATCTTGAAAGAGGACCTGGCGAAGGACAATACAGGAATGCGTTGTCGGAGGTCTCGGTGGTCCGGAGAGCTGCCGTTGATTTTCGTAAGGTGTCGACCCGGAAGTAAAGGTAGAAAGACAGGCTGGTGCTCACGTCCGACACCGTTCGCTATGGCGGACAAGAGGGGAGCTACCACTGTCAGTACTGGTTGTCGACACCCAGAGATACGGAGAGGCGTTATGGCTATTTGGCTACGCCGACCTAATCGTAGGATGGCGGACTGTACCCAAATCTTGGCCCGGATCGCGGATGTACGCATGGTGTAGGAGGTGTCGATGGTAGCTCCGCGAAGGAGACTGTCTGAGCGGACCTGCGGCGGCCTTCCAACAGGTTGTATCCTTCTGTCATCCGCGTTCCCTGCCAAGATATTCTACGGCTACGATATGTCGAACGACTCGTACTCGCCAGCTAGAAGATGGGCAAGTCGGAGTATGGTCAATGTCGCCGGCGTGGCATTGTCAGGCAGTGTTTGAGGTCGATTTGAATGTTGTGATATCTGCGCGATGTTGTGCGGAGCCCGCAAGTAGGAAAACGCATACGCCGATGGGGCCAGCCAAGTCTGTTTCTTGTGAGGTGATTTTCAAGGTGGTGGTGACCAGAATTTGCAAAGAGTGGTCCGGAATTTGTGGGGAGGCCACCAGACTCACTTCACGACAATTGCGGCGAGGAGAGAGCGTGGAGAGCCACAGCCACTGCGCGCCCAATACCAATCCAATGAACCCTCCGCATACATATAGGGTCCTCTTATTCAGCCTTTTAAAGACATTCTGACGCTTCGCCGCAGGCGCTCCGCGCAAGGCTCGCGGGACTTCAAAAGCCGTTTGCGGGCCGCCGCCGCCATTTTGGAGCTGCCCCGCTGCATGCTTGACACGACCTCTCTCACAACAGGCTGTAACTATTGAGGAATGATCAAAAAGGAGGCCCACATACGTAGCTAGATTTATGATACACAATCGCGCTGCCAAATAACAGGCGCGGTCGCGCTGTCGCCGCAGAGACTTCGCGTGCGCCATCAAGCCCGCCCTAAAAACCACAATAAAGACAAGTGGAGCAACGGCAACGCAGCTTCAAAGCATGTAGCAACTAGAAGAGGCAACTACAGCCCGTCATACAGCAGACAAAGCTTACAAATATTTCTTACATAAGAACTTGCAGCTCAGGTTGTGACCACAACACCAGACCTCTTCCTCGAGTACCCAGACAAGCTGAGTAGTTCAATGAAAAGATAAAAGGTTGAGGAAATATCTCACTCGAGTTTGTTTTTCCAAAAATTCCCTGCCGATCCGAAGACCAACAGAAGCTGGTCTGTTGTAGTTTCCAACAAGCAAAAATCTGACCTCGGATGAGTCCTCACTGGTACAGATAACGCCCTGTGATGATTGTTAGTGATTGATTGTGGAAAGGATGGGGAGGGGAGGACAAACCTTGCACTAGGATGAGGAAAGGAAGTTTGTGGATGAGCGACGAGATCCTTATACCTGGCGGACGCGCTCGCTTAGGTTGCTTACTCATCAACGCTAGAGTTTTTAATCGGGCCCTGTTGATACAATGTAATAAGGCCTCGCCGCACACGCGTTACGCAGGCTCGCGGGACCCCAAAAGCCGCCTGTGGGCGACCGCCGTAGTTGTGGAGCTGCTGCGCGGTAAGTTTGACGCGTCTTTTTTCACGCAAGCTGCAACCATCGAGTAAGAGTCAGGAAGGAGGTCCAGATGCACAGAGAGCTCCTAGACACCATAGTCGCAAGGCCTAACATCTATGGACACGGGCCGTGTGCTTCGCGTCCGCCCTCACACCCCCAACGCCAAACCGATCGTTGAGGAGCTGTCTCTAATCGTAAGATAGCATCCTAGGATACGTAGGTTTTGGTGGGCGCGGAGATTGCTATTTCAACACGCTGGTGATGCTTTTGCAGGGCGCAGCCGTGTGGGTTTGAAAAAATTGTTGAATTATGGGTGCCAATCGGCATACGCCCGACGTCTCGATTGTAAGAGACGTAAGCGTGCTTCACGTAGCACACGTTGAGAGGACTTGTGGTCAATGTTATTGAAATCGTAGTTAAGAGTCCTCTCGACGTGCAAGTGCTATGTGAAGCACGCTTACATCTCTTACAGTTGGTAGCTGAGGCGAGTAGATGTGTCTGAAATTCCGAAAAATGCCTTAAGAGTGCGTTCCTCTTAATTCAAAAGGGCATGGGCACACAAATATGATAGTCCGCAGCTCCACTATTGCTCGCTCAACACCACCGTAAGGAGTGGCCCAGCTAGCACGTAGCCAGGCAGTCAAAAGGCAGCCCAATTTGCACTTCACATGGTGTTCCGAGTTTCGGATGGGCGGTTGAAGCCAGCAAAGAAGGGAAGATGCCAATGAAGTATCCAAGACTCGGTGGTTGCGGGCGTTGTTCGTAGCGCAATCGGTGTACTTCCTCCTAGTGTGAAAGATGTGTGCCACGCCCATATTTTCTCTAGCTCTGCATCCATGGCTCATGCTCCTGCATGAACCCCACGCACGCCTACAAATATATCTAAATGGCCCACAAACATAGTCAGCTAGCCCACAAACATACCACCAGCCGTCTTTCATCTCTGGCTGTGGGCGTGATTGCGACCGGATTGTGTGTGGGGGGTAGGCAAAGGCAAGGAGTATGGCAGCCAGTTAGAATGCTCCTACGCACGTCTGTCTACGCGTCTCAGCTGTACAGGGTTCACTTCTCAGCTGGACAGGGTTCACCTGTTGTTTT